CTGTCTTCCATAGGACTGGATCCACAGGTAACACTACCCTTTTTAAACAGTCTTGGCCAGAGAATCCCAGTTATCTCTTCTGCCTCCAGGAGAGAAGGCGGTTTCAACATGTTCCTAACTCAAGTTATTTTAGGCTTATCAACAGCCCTGGAGCTGGTCTCCTGTGTTAAATAAGAATCCCTTCGGGGAGAACAGATAACCGTCTATAAATAGGAAGATAAAGAGTGCTTTGTCTCTGCTCCCGAGTTCTCTATTTTTGGGAAGTATTGTTGATTTGTTACGTAATTTATTTCACAGAAGCTTGTGTGTTTTGCCAAACCTTGGCTTGTTTGTTTTTCAAAACACAGGTGTTCATTATTGGGTTGGTTTGCTTGTTTTTTCTGCACGTCAGCTGTTTCTCAAATATGGAATATTGGAAGGCAAGTGGCATGCTGACCGGGGGGGGGGGGGAATCTGGGAGCTGAAGTCCGCTAGCTTTAAAGTTGCCCAAGTTGGCATACAGCGCTCCTGCCACTTCAAGAAGGTTAGTTCAAGGCATGCTCATGAAATAAAAGACAGCTGTAGAAGCTCCAGACGCTGGAGGATTTCGATGTGCAAACAGCCAGACGTGCGTATAAAAGGAACGACGGGAGGGTCTCATCGGATTCCATCTACTGACTTCAATAAACCTAGCTCAGGGGTAGGCAACCTTGGCTCTTTTATGACTCGTGGACTTCAACTCCCAGAATTCCTGAGCCAGCCATGCTGAGGGGAAAGGGTGGTTTCCATGCTGAGCCATTCTGGCTCAGGAATTCTGGGAGTTGAAGTCCACCAGTCATAAAAGGGCCAAGTTTGAAGACCCCAGCTCTAAATGGGCCTTATTGCAGACCTAATGGCTGCACAGACTAGGCCACGGGTAGGCAACCTTGGCTCTTTTATGACTCGTGGACTTCAACTTCCAGAATTCCTGAGCCACCCATGCTGAGGGGAAAGGGAGAGGTTTCCATGCTGAGCCATGCTGGCTGAGGAATTCTGGGAGTTGAAGTCCCCAAGTCATGAAGGGGCCATAGTTCCCCCATGCTGGCTCAGGAATTCTGGGAGTTGAAGTCCACGAGTCATAAAAGAGCCAAGGCTGCCTACCCCTGAGCTAGATGTTAACCGATCTCATGGTGCTTTGAGCGCAGGTGCCACTGACATGTACCAACTACAAACATTGTATAGTAATGTGGTTTCATCTAAATAAGCCATGGCAGGAGCTACGTCTACTATGTCTGGTTCACAAAGCTCTGGATTTGCAGTGCAAATAATCCCCTACCAGCATTAGGCAGATATACTTGGTGATAGAGATGAAAAGATGGGCGGGCAGAGTTAAGGAGGAGGAGGAGAGAAGCAAAGGGAATAGAGGGGAGGAGAAGAGAAAGGAGAAGAGAAAGGAAAAAAGGAGGAGGAGGAGGAGGAGGAGGAGGAGGAGGAGAGGAGGAGGAGGAGTAGAAGAGGAGGAGGAATATTCTGAATCAGCTTCCTCAACCCAACCCTCCTTGGTCTTAGCCATCATCTATAGGTTAAAGAAGGCAACACTAAAGGTGTTTATAGGATTATTAGTCAGCAGATAGGAAAAAAAAATGTCTGCATTTTCAAAAACCTGTAGTGTACGTGCATTCAACAAGGAAGTTCCTGGTGTCAATGGATTCAAACTAGCTTTCTACATGTCCGTTTAATTTCTCAAGACCAAGAATTCAGTGAGCCTGACCAAAAATATTTCACTACTGTACTCCAAATTGCCTCCAGACGCGCTAATGCTGTAATTAAAGAAGGAGCCGAAGCACCAGCACAGGAAATCCTCAAATATATCACACAGAAGCACAGAAAAGTCAACATTACCCTTATACATACATAAGATTAGAGCTAAAAGAACTCTAGAGGTTTCCCAAAAGAAAAGAAAAGAAAAACATCTCGTGATTTTTGACAGAGATCAAGTGCTTACAATATAAAGATGACGATCCAAGGGAAAGTACATTACTGTCCTACACACACACACACACACACACACACACACCCTGCACACAGTTCTGTAAAATTCACATTCAAGGACCTGGACCAAAACGACGACGACGACAAAATGCTATCCTTTTCTAAAAGTCATGACTTTCTGAAACAAAACCCGTTTTTTGCAACGTTACACTTCTGAAATAGTTAATAATGCACCGTCTCAACTACTGGCATTATCAGTTTTGTTTAGGACCTGATGAAAATGGGGAAAAAATGGAAAATATTGCTAGTTCTGATAGAGTATGCCTCATCGTTAGGAGTGGAAATTTTTTACCACCAGGACATTTGTATCAACCAGCACCCCACCACTTTTCTGCTTCTATTCCACATACTTATGAGAAGAGTGTTCACTCTTAGGCAAAAAATAAAATAAAATAAAATCCAGAAGACAATGGCAAACTGCGTCTGTTTTCCTAGGTTTTTCCTAGAAAAACTATATGGATAAACCCAAGAGGTTACCAAAAATTAAACAGATCACAAAGGACGCTCTCTATCTTTTAAGAAAAGATACATACGTATTCTAATTATCTCAATAAAAACAAACTGTTTAATGGAGCTTTCTATAATACAGGTAGTCTTCGACTCACAACCATAATTGAGCCCAAAAATTATGTCGTTAAGCAAGACAGTCGTTAAGTGAGTTTTGCCCTGTTTTACGACCTTTCTTGTCAGTTTTTAAGTGAATCACCACTTAACCATGTTAAATTAGTAACATGGTTGTTAAGTGAGTCTGGCTTCCCCGCTGAGTTTGCTTCATCACGTGACCCTATGACGCTGCCACCGTCATAAATAGGAGCCAGGTGCCAAGCGTTTGAATTTTAATCACGTGACCATGGGCATGCTGAACGGCCACGTGAAAAATGGTCATAAGTCACTTTTTTCAGTGCTGTTGTAATTTTGGTCACTAAATGAACTGTTGTAAGTCAAGGACTACCTGTGGAAATTATAAAAATGATAGGCAAAAAGAATAATGACCAATTGAAACATCACAGGAACATGTGNGGCTCTTTTATGACTGGTGGACTTCAACTCCCAGAATTCCTGAGCCAGCATTGCTCAGCATGGAAACCTCTCCCTTTCCCCTCAGCGTGGCTGGCTCAGGAATTCTGGGAGTTGAAGTCCACGAGTCATAAAAGAGCCAAGGTTGCCTACCCCTGCCCTATATCAGGGGTCCTCAACCTTGGCAACTTAAAACTTGTGGACTTCAACTCCCAGAATTCCTGAGCCAGCATGGCTCAGCTTGGAAACCTCTTCCTTTCCCCTCAGCGTGGCTGGCTCAGGAATTCTGGGAGTTGAAGTCCACCAGTCATAAAAGAGCCAAGGTTGCCTACCCCTGGACTACACTGTCCAACCGCATCATATTTCCCTAAGCCACGGAGTCACTGTTCCCACTCTTACATCATTCATGTGCAATTCCTTTGCTAAATAAGGACATCAGTAGCCACAGACTAAGTTATTGAAACATTATACACACAGACACACGTATACACACTAAACTGGATCCTATTAAAACATTAATGCAGCATTATTTTTATTATTGCAATCTCAAAGATCTGAATTCGTGACAATCAAGAAGTTCTGTGGTTAGGTTTGCCTTAACCATTCCCGTTATGGATTTTTAAGATATAACTAAACACTCAGGATGTTATTTACATTAACACAAAGGAAAAGTAACCTCCAAAAGCCTGGAAGTAAAAACAAACTTTCTTCAGTCTTTTTGTCAGGAAGCCTTTCTCAAAAACGAATAATTTAATGGTTAAAAATGTGCATTTATTGATATTTTAGAAAACCAGATAATTAGCATGTTTAAAAACAAGCAACCTCTCCATTTAGTGCCTGGGAAGTTTTATTTTTCCTTGTCATGTATTACATAAAACAAAAAGCACTTCTTTATTGGCTGGGAAGTAATGAATTTTCAGTCTCGTCAGTAAAATTAATATTGCCAACATTTGGGGTTTTTAATTTTTTTTTAAAATGTCCACTTTTAACCGTGGCCTGATTCAGGTAAGCTAAATGTGCAAAAAAAAAAACCCAACAGATGTCAGCAACCTTATTACCTTCTCTGAAAACCTGAACAATCCTGAACTGACACTTTTGGGGGAACTCATGATCCTGTCACTGTAGCAGCTACCATTTTTAGTGTATGGAGTCGTGCCAATTTGCCTCCTCCTTTTATGACTTACTCAATAAAAGTCTGTTTTCAAGAGCCTTCCCTGCCTAGTGATTGGCTGCTTTTTTAATTAACTGCTGTACAGTTAAGTCAGCTTTTAGTATTTTGTCATGTATCCTCTTAAATAGGATTTTTGTGTTCTGCAACGGTAGTCCGGATTAGTCATGAGGTTTGAAGCCTTTTCAGCAGAAACGTGCCCAATAAAAATCAAATGCAAATAAATAATGATTTACTGTTAGTGGAGTGCAAAGGTCTCTCCCTCTCTGTCTCTCTCAATTGCCTCCAATTCAGAATACTTCATGAGAATAATTTGAATGAAACATTCTGCAAAATCCTAACGACTGCAAAACAAACGAAGCACCTAATCTCTATTTAACGTAACTGCCTTAGATTTGAAGTCATTTGAGCTGTGGTGCCAGAGAAGGCCTCCTGCTTATTCCTTGGACAGCAGGGGTGACTAACAAGCATGGCACTAAAAGGCAAAAATCACAAAACTGCGTCTCACTTACTTTGGCCATGTCCCCGAGGGGGGGGGGAAGGGTGGAAGCAATGACATTTGGAAGAGTTGAAGGGAAAAGGGAATCAGGCTGCCAGAGAACACAGTGGCTGGACACCATGAAAGATGACACCAGCCAGAGCACAGAACAACTCAAAGCAGTGCAAGATCAGAAGATGTGGAGAGACCTGGCCCTCAGAATCGCCAAGAGTCAGACTTGACCGAACGGATAATCATCATCAACATCATCATCAGTATAATCCAGCCGCAGGAAAAGGGTACTGGGGACAAGGGATCTTTGCTTACCATGCCGCCAAGGGTCTTTAGGCTCCACGGCACCAGACACGATGTCTTCATCCGAAGGAAAAGTCACATGCTTTGCCCCGGGCTTCAGCTTCCCCTCATCCACTGGTGGAGAACCCTGGTTTAATAGGTCATCTGCTGGTGTGTCCCCACTTGCTGCTTCCAAGCTTAAACAGCAGTTCTGAGAAGAGGACTCAGCTTTGTCAGGCAAATGCTTATTTTGCTCGGAAGCAGACCGTTCCTTGTCCCTAAGTCCTTCTTGAGCAGTCGTCCCAAGAGGTTCTGCAACCAAAGAGGTGTTGTTTCCGTCAGCCGCTTCGTTGACCAATGACCGTTCCGGCTGATGGTTCAAAGTCTCCAACGGTTTCAAGTCCTCCTCTGCCCCATCACAACTCTCCTTCGGGTCCTCCTTTAAAGAACACGCAGTACAACGCTCTACAGTATCTCTGACATAAGGATGGTCCTGCTGGGAGGGAAGGCTCTCTGTACTGTTGGAACAAAACTCCTTAGTGTCTTGAAACGCCTTCATGCCATCTTGGCTATTGTTCAGTTGGGAAGCAGCCCAGGGGTCAGAGCCCTCTTCCTTCTGCACAGCAGGAGCGGGCAGGAGCAGCAGCACACGGTCCCCCTCAACAGCTTTGCCTTGTTGCTGCACAGGTGAAACCTGCACACACTCCATAGCCAAGCAGGTGAGATGGGTGTCTGACAAAGGGGGAGCTCCTTCTTCCCTTCTCATGAGTCCTTTGGAGTCATTACTCAGGAACAGAACTCACCTTTTTCCCTTCCTATCTTTTTGCTGCTCACCCCCCCTTCAGGAAAGGGGGAACAAAAAAGAAAGAAGCTCTCACGTTTTCCAGGCCTTCTCCTTATAAGCAGTAGTGAAGAGAGGCTGAGCTCTTGTTGAACCAAAGGAAGCCGCTACATGAAGCATGAGTGAAGATTAAAAGAAACTGGGGACAGGGGAGGAGAGTAAAGAGATAGAATGCAAGGGTGAAGTAAAACCCTCGCCTGAGATTAGAAGGAAGTGCCTGTTAGGAGAGACACAGCATCTAGGGAACAACCTGGATTGGGGAGAGGGATGAATTATGGGGAGCTGAGGATAACCAAAGGGTCCCAGCAATCCCCTTGTAGCCTGCAAAACAAAGAAAACCATTCGGTTTCATTACCCTTCCCAGGAAAAAAAAAAAAGGATCAGGTAGGGTGTGCATAAGCCGGAAACGCATCGGACTAAATAACCGGACGATAAAACACGTCTCACAGCAGCTCTCCCAACAGAGCAAAAAGAAAAGTTTACACAAGCGCGAACCGCAAGGCCCACAAAATAAATAAGCCGCAGCTGACACAAGTCCAATAAAAGCACCCACGAGGGTCCGCTCTTGGTGCAGAAAAGATGTTTTTTTTTTTAAAAAAAAATAATGGGGTGGGAAGAGATACTTTTTTGCAGAAGCATGCACGTGCAATTTGGCTCCTGCAAAGAAAAGTTGGGGGGTGGGAATTATTCCCCGCCCCCCGAGGTATGGAGTCAGTTTTTGGGCGAAAGGAAGAGAGAAATATACCGTCCACTGGGTGGGGTGGGGAGGGGGAGAAGGAAGGGGGGGGATCTCTGGGGAGGTGCAGAGAAGGAAAACCCTCTCCAGGTATAAGCAAGCAGGAGCTCCGGGAGCGGCCAGGCGAAGGAAGGAGCGCGTCCCGGGAAGGGCTTTCCTCCCAGGCGCGGAGCCTCGGGAGCCCCTTCCCCACTTCCTTCGGGACGAGGCGGGCGGCGGCAGCAGGAGAGAGGCCGCCGGGTTGAAATACGCACCCGGAGGAGCAGCGGAGCGCCGGGACTCGGGGGAGGCAGGAGGGCGGGCAAGCGGGAGGCCAAAGCCGCTAACGAGGCAGGGAACGGCGGAGGAGCAGCCGCTGCGCGAGGCGACCAAGGCCTACCGCCGCCGCCGCCGCCGCCTCAGCCAGGTGCGGACGCGAAAGAAGCCGCCTCTCCCAGCCGCCGCCGCCGCCGCCAGGACTAAGTGCGCTTTCGGCCTGCGCATCGGCCGACGCACTTTCGACACAGCGTTAGCCGGGTGGCTCGGCTTTCGTTCCCGCTCGTCTCCCCCAAGCCAGCTGCGGTCCTAGGATTCCCGAGTCACTCGTATTCGGACTCCCATGCCCGGCTTCCCCAAGGAGGGTCCCACGCTTATTTTATTTTTATTTCCCCCCCCCGAGTTTGGCGAATCAGCGAGCGGGTTTTTGCGAGCTATCGCGCGGAGCGACCCGACCCCTCCTTCCCCCCCCTCTCCCGCTGCTGCTGGCTGGCTGGCCTCCCGCGCTCGCCCCCTCCTCTCCCGACTCCAGGAGGGAAAGCGCCTGGTTTGGGTTTCGGTTCCGCACTTTCGCTTTTTTTTCCACAGGGCGTCTGAGGAAAGGCAGCCCCGTCGAATCCCACCGCGGGCGGCTCTAGAGTGAAAGCGAATTTTTAAAAACGTAACGTTCAAAAAGAAAGTACGGGGGCGGGAGGGGAAACCGAAAGAGGATCCCGAATGTGCCGATGGGGGAAGCGGACTGAACAAAAAAAAACAAAACCACCGCCTGACGCTGACGAAAAAGCTCACGCTCTCTCACCTCACTCTCCCGAGGCTACGCAGGGAGGGGGAGAGAGAGAGAAATAAATAAATGACGCATGCGCCTTGCTCGTCCCCCAGCTCCTTGGTCCGAAGTCATAGATTTGGCAGTCCTCCTCTGGCCAGAGAGGACTAAGGAAGAGCTTAGTATTTCCGGGCGAAGGGGTCACGTCGCTGTCTTCACCGTTAGGACGTTGCTTTCTGGCGCTTCAGGACGGGCGAATTTGGGGCGGTTATGAGGAGATAATTCCAGCCAGGCCTGTGCAAGTCAGTTCACGTTAATTAAGGGATTTTTTTAAACCGGGAATGCTACTTTTCTGGGCAAGGGGAGGTTTTTAGGGTCCCCAACCAGGCGCCCTCCATAACCTCCCCCCCCCCGGGCCGACATTAAGCTGCCTTGCCCTGCTGGGCCTTTAATCCCATCCAGCTCAACATCAACATGGTTGATTTTCGGCTCCAAGTCTGCTGTAAAGCCCCCAAAAGAAACCAAGCCAGGATTAAAAATCATTGTTAGTCCAGAAAAGCTCTTTTTTTTAAAACCAGGGTTTCTTAGATAGGAAATTGGGAGTCTTGGTTTGTTTTGTGCCTCCCCCCCCCCACTTCTGGGGGGTGGCACAAAAACAAACCAACCAGGAATTGCCTTTAGGGGATGTTAGCTTTGTGTTAATCTGGAAAGCTTGCCTTCCACGAATCATGGTTAACATGATGGCGTATTGCCACATGAGAAGTAGCTTCCATCTGGATAGGCACGTTGAATAAACCACACTTGGCTGGGTTCACACCATTTGCTCAGATGAACTAGAATGTAGCTTGTTTGCTTTAAGACAGGGGTCTTCATACTTGGCCCTTTTATGACTTGTGGACTTCAACTCCCAGAATTCCTCAGCCAGCATGGCTGGCTGAGGAATTCTGGGAGTTGAAGTCCACAAGTCATAAAAGGGCCAAGTTTGAAGACCCCTGGTTTAACAGGATGTCTAAGAGCTGTTACATTGGGTTAGATAGCAGGTTGTTTTGTGTTAAAATGTTGATATTGTTCCTCAGCTGTCATTAAGACATCTGTGGTTGGTAACGCGTTGCCCAGGAATGGTGGGTTTCCTCAAACTTCCTACACTGGCGAGATGGCCCTGATGTTAGAAGGGCTCAAGAAAACTCTTTGTGTTAGATTTCATTCCTTTTCTGACCAGAGAGTAGTAAACCCACCACTCTGTGCCACCTTCTAAGGCCCCATGGGATTGCAGCCAAAATGGTCTTTTGATGGGTAAGAAGCTGCATGCAATTGGAGGATTGGATTGTTCTGCCTGTTAAGGAATTTCCATACCAAATATTTGCCTTCGTCATTCTGATTAACACAACATTAACATTTTGACTGGAGAAACTCTCTAAAGCTACGAAACAGATGCAAGTACAGAAAACAAGATGCTATTGAATGAACGTTCCATGGGTATCTGTTAATCTCTCTCTTTAGTTATGTGCATTTGCTGTTTGTTCCAGCATGTCTGTCTGGTTTTAATTTTGGCCTGGGGTCTATTACTGTGGTAGGCTTGATAAATATTTCATTTATTATTCATCTAACGGCTGTCATGTCTATGAGAATATCTGTTGTTGTTGTTAATTGCAAAGTCGTGTCCGACCCATCGCGACCCAATGGACAACGTTCCTCCAGGCCTTCCTGTCCTCTACCATCTTCTGGAGTATCTAGAGACTCAATAATAACTGAGCCGTGGTGGGCAGTGGTTAGAATGCAGTATTGCAGGCTAACTCTGCCAACTGCCAGAAGTTTGATCCTGGCGGGCTCAAGGTTGATTCAATTTTCCATCCTTATGAGGTCGGTAAAATAAGGACCCAGATTGCTGGGGGCAATATGCTGACTCTGTAAACTGCTTAGAAAGGGCTGTAAAGCACTATGAAGGGTTATATAAGTCTTAAGTATTATTGCTATTGCTAACGAGGGGTAGATAATTTCATGCATCCCAGCTGTTTTGAGCTGTAATTTCCATAATCCCTGCTAGATGGAAGCGACAAGTATTACCTTCAAGATGGTGGTTGACCTATTGTTGCCTTAAAAGATAGCAGGCAAAAATGATTATTACTCGTTCATGAGATTAATCCCAACTGCCTTGCTGTTTTCGATAGTGGCCTGCAGAGTGTGGCCCCTCCGGGAAGATCTCATTGTAGCAGCCTAGAGCTGTTGCTGAACCTTTGGAAATAAATTAATTCTGTAAGGGAAGATTTTATCTAGCTCCTGTCTGTGCTGATGTTGTAGTGACCATTCTGATCCTTTTGCAATACAGACCGGACTTTATTGTCCATCGCTTTTACCGAGAGCCTCCCCTAAGTTTTAGCACTGACAAAAGACAACTCTGGGCGCTTTTGCTTCTACCGGCAGCCGCATCCGTCCACTACCATGTCTTGATAGCTCTTGAGGACCACCATGTCGTGCTGGTCTAGGTAAAGCATAGCGATGGGGCTGAGCTCTGTGGGGACGCAGCAGGCCTTGGGCACTTTGGAGTTCACCGAGTTCAGGATGGTCTGCACCACAGCGTGGCTGGAGGAGTTCATGTGGTCGGCCAGCGGAAAGCGGCAGTCCCCAGAGCAGTAGAAAGCGTGGTAGCCACTGGGAGCAATGATCCAGTCATTCCATCCCACCGCCTTGAAGTCCACAAACAGGCGGTGCCTTCTGCACCTTGCGCCGGTTTTAGTCTTTGGCCTCAGGCTCTTGTGCTTCCTTGCGGAGGCTGGCACTTTAGCCGCTCCTCTGCCTCGAATAGGGCGGCTTCTGGTTTGCCTTTTTCTGTGGCTCAGAGGTTGCCCTCTTTGGTCATGGCTATAGGTGACCAGCAAAGGCCTTTTGAGAGCCCACTCAGCCTCCTCTTGGCCGGGAGACCGTCTTGCCCGAAGGGAAACCGGTTGGTGCGGAAGATGGCGGCTGCTATTTGAAGGCTGCACCTCCACGAGAAACCCGAGGTGATGCTTCTTCTGTTCTCTTGCTTTCTGGAAAGCTGCCGTCACATCAAAACTCACCCATTTGGGCTGGCCGGGAGTCACCAATTTGCACGCGAGGAGCCGGCTCTTGTTTGGGGACACAGGCAGGGGATCCACGGCATGGTAAACGTTGATGTGTGAGCCGTGGCTTTCCTCAGGGGAGTGAAAGAGACGCAACTCCAGGGCAGTCAGTTCCTCCTCCGACGGCAGGGCGGTGAGGTTGAACAGGAAGTAGAACGAATTTCCTGCGCCTTCGGAGACAGGCGCCGAATCCTCTAAATGCGGGGGGGAAAAAATGAGGAAAAGTAAGGGAAAAGTAGGACGGGCAATTCGAATAAAATAACTGCTTTGCTGAAGTTAACAGGCAGTCTCTTGCCCTGCTGCCTATTTCCTTCTCCAGCCAACCAGGTGTGTCTTGGAAGCTTACAAGTGTGACCTTTCTTGTCATTTCTATCTAGGATAGGTCACGCTCAGGTAATCCTCAACTTACGACCGCAGTGGAGCTCAACATTTCCTTTGCTAAGCAAGACAGTTGTTAAGTGAGTTGTGCCTCATTTTACAACCTTTCGACCATGGTTATTAAGCGGATCACCAGGGTTGCTAAGAGAATCACAGGTTGTTAAGTGAATCGCTGGGGTTGTTAAGCGAATCAGGCTTCCTCCATTGACTTTGCTTGTCGGAAGCTAGATGGGANCGAGTCACTCGTATTCGGACTCCCATGCCCGGCTTCCCCAAGGAGGGTCCCACGCTTATTTTATTTTTATTTCCCCCCCCCGAGTTTGGCGAATCAGCGAGCGGGTTTTTGCGAGCTATCGCGCGGAGCGACCCGACCCCTCCTTCCCCCCCCTCTCCCGCTGCTGCTGGCTGGCTGGCCTCCCGCGCTCGCCCCCTCCCCTCCCGACTCCAGGAGGGAAAGCGCCTGGTTGGGGTTTCGGTTCCGCACTTTCGCTTTTTTTTTTCACAGGGCGTCTGAGGAAAGGCAGCCCCGTCGAATCCCACCGCGGGCGGCTCTAGAGTGAAAGCGAATTTTTAAAAACGTAACATTCAAAAAGAAAGTACGGGGGCGGGAGGGGAAACCGAAAGAGGATCCCGAATGTGCCGATGGGGGAAGCGGACTGAACAAAAAAAAAAAAAACCACCGCCTGACGCTGACGAAAAAGCTCACGCTCTCTCACCTCACTCTCCCAAGGCTACGCAGGGAGGGGGGAGAGAGAGAAATAAATCAACGACGCATGCGCCTTGCTCGTCCCCCAGCTCCTTGGTCCGAAGTCATAGATTTGGCAGTCCTCCTCTGGCCAGAGAGGACTAAGGAAGAGCTTAGTATTTCCGGGCGAAGGGGTCACGTCGCTGTCTTCACCGTTAGGACGTTGCTTTCTGGCGCTTCAGGACGGGCGAATTTGGGGCGGTTATGAGGAGATAATTCCAGCCAGGCCTGTGCAAGTCAGTTCACGTTAATTAAGGGATTTTTTTAAACCGGGAATGCTACTTTTCTGGGCAAGGGGAGGTTTTTAGGGTCCCCAACCAGGCGCCCTCCATAACCTCCCCCCCCCGGGCCGACATTAAGCTGCCTTGCCCTGCTGGGCCTTTAATCCCATCCAGCTCAACATCAACATGGTTGATTTTCGGCTCCAAGTCTGCTGTAAAGCCCCCAAAAGAAACCAAGCCAGGATTAAAAATCATTGTCTGTTAGCCCAGAAAAGCTCTTTTTTTAAACCAGGGTTTCTTAGATAGGAAATTGGGACTCTTGGTTTGTTTTGTGCCTTCCCCCCCCCCCCACTTCTGGGGGGTGGCACAAAAACAAACCAACCAGGAATTGCCTTTAGGGGATGTTAGCTTTGTGTTAATCTGGAAAGCTTGCCTTCCACGAATCATGGTTAACATGATGGCTTATTGCCACATGAGAAGTAGCTTCCATCTGGATAGGCACGTTGAATAAACCACACCTGGCTGGGTTCACACCATTTGCTCCATTATGAACTAGAACAGTGTTTCTCAACCTTGACAATTTTAAGGCAGTGGACTTCAACTCCCAGAATTCCACAGCCAGCAATGCTGGCTGTGGAATTCTGGGAGTTGAAGTCCACATGCCTTAAAGTTGTCAAGGTTGAGAAACACTGAACTAGAGTGTAGCTTGTTTGGTTTAACACAGGGGTCTTCATACTTGGCCCTTTTATGACTTGTGGACTTCAACTCCCAGAATTCCTCAGCCAGCATGGCTGGCTGAGGAATTCTGGGAGTTGAAGTCCACAAGTCATAAAAGGGCCAAGTTTGAAGACCCCTGGTTTAACAGGATGTCTAAGAGCTGTTGTTGTTTCACTGGGTTAGATAGCAGGTTGTTTTGTGTTAAAATGTTGATATTGTTTCTCAGCTGTCATTAAGACATCTGTGGTTGGTAACGCGTTGCCCAGGAATGGTGGGTTTCCTCAAATTTCCTACACCGGCGAGATGGCCCTGATGTTAGGAGGGTTCAAGAAACCCTCCTAACATCAGGGCCATCTCGCCGGTGTAGGAAATTTCATTCCCTTTCTGACCAGGGCCATCTCGCCGGTGTTAGATTTCATTCCCTTTCTGACCAGAGAGTAGTAAACCCACCACTGTGCCACCTTCTTGATTGCAGCCAAAATGATCTTTTGATGGGTAAGAAGCTGCATCCAATTGGATGATTGGATTGTTCTGCCTGTTAAGGAATTTCCATACCAAATATTTGCCTTCGTAATTCTGATTAACACAACATTAACATTTTGACTGGAGAAACTCTCTAAAGCTACGAAACAGATGCAAGTACAGAAAACAAGATGCTATTGAATGAACGTTCCATGGGTATCTGTTAATCTCTCTCTTTAGTTATGTGCATTTGCTGTTTGTTCCAGCATGTCTGTCTGGTTTTAATTTTGGCCTGGGGTCTATTACTGTGGTAGGCTTGATAAATATTTCATTTATTATTCATCTAACGGCTGTCATGTCTATGAGAATATCTGTTGTTGTTAATTGCGAAGTCGTGTCCGACCCATCGCGACCCAATGGACAACGTTCCTCCAGGCCTTCCTGTCCTCTACCATCTTCTTGGAGTATCTAGAGACTCAATAATAACAGAGCCGTGGTGGGCAGTGGTTAGAATGCAGTATTGCAGGCTAACTCTGCCAACTGCCAGAAGTTTGATCCTGGCGGGCTCAAGGTTGACTCAACTTTCCATCCTTCTGAGGTCGGTAAAATAAGGACCCAGATTGCTGGGGGCAATATGCTGACTCTGTAAACTGCTTAGAAAGGGCTGTAAAGCACTATGAAGGGTTATATAAGTCTTAAGTATTATTGCTATTGCTAACGAGGGGTAGATAATTTCATGCATCCCAGCTGTTTTGAGCTGTAATTTCCATAATCCCTGCTAGATGGAAGCGACAAGTGTTACCTTCAAGATGGTGGTTGACCTATTGTTGCCTTAAAAGATAGCAGGCAAAAATGATTATTACTCGTTCATGAGATTAATCCCAACTGCCTTGCTGTTTTCGACAGTGGCCTGCAGAGTGTGGCCCCTCCGGGAAGATCTCATTGTAGCAGCCTAGAGCTGTTGCTGAACCTTTGGAAATAAATTAATTCTGTAAGGGAAGATATTATCTAGCTCCTGTCTGTGGTGATGTTGTAGTGACCATTCTGATCTTTTTGCAATACAGACCGGACTTTATTGTCCGTCGCTTTTACCGAGAGCCTCCCCTAAGTTTTAGTACTGACAAAAGACAACTCTGGGCGCTTTTGCTTCTACCGGCAGCCGCATCCGTCCACTACCATGTCTTGATAGCTCTTGAGGACCACCATGTCGTGCTGGTCTAGGTAAAGCATAGCGATGGGGCTGAGCTCTGTGGGGACGCAGCAGGCCTTGGGCACTTTGGAGTTCACCGAGTTCAGGATGGTCTGCACCACAGCGTGGCTGGAGGAGTTCATGTGGTCGGCCAGCGGAAAGCGGCAGTCCCCAGAGCAGTAGAAAGCGTGGTAGCCACTGGGAGCAATGATCCAGTCATTCCATCCCACCGCCTTGAAGTCCACAAACAGGCGGTGCCTTCTGCACCTTGCGCCGGTTTTAGTCTTTGGCCTCAGGCTCTTGTGCTTCCTCGCGGAGGCTGGCACTTTAGCCGCTCCTCTGCCTCGAATAGGGCGGCTTCTGGTTTGCCTTTTTCTGTGGCTCAGAGGTTGCCCTCTTTGGTCATGGCTATAGGTGACCAGCAAAGGCCTTTTGAGAGCCCACTCAGCCTCCTCTTGGCCGGGAGACCGTCTTGCCCGAAGGGAAACCGGTTGGTGCGGAAGATGGCGGCTGCTATTTGAAGGCTGCACCTCCACGAGAAACCCGAGGTTACGCTTCTTCTGTTCTCTTGCTTTCTGGAAAGCTGCCGTCACATCAAAACTCACCCATTTGGGCTGGCCGGGAGTCACCAATTTGCACGCGAGGAGCCGGCTCTTGTTTGGGGACACAGGCGGGGGATCCACGGCATGGTAAACGTTGATGTGTGAGCCGTGGCTTTCCTCAGGGGAGTGAAAGAGACGCAACTCCAGGGCAGTCAGTTCCTCCTCCGACGGCAGGGCGGTGAGGTTGAACAGGAAGTAGAACGAATTTCCTGCGCCTTCGGAGACAGGCGCCGAATCCTCTAAATGCGGGGGGGGAAAAATATGAGGAAAAGTAAGGGAAAAGTAGGACGGGCAATTCGAATAAAATAACTGCTTTGCTGAAGTTAACAGGCAGTCTCTTGCCCTGCTGCCTATTTCCTTCTCCAGCCAACCAGGTGTGTCTTGGAAGCTTACAAGTGTGACCTTTCTTGTCATTTCTATCTAGGATAGGTCACGCTCAGGTAATCCTCAACTTACGACTGCAGTGGAGCTCAACATTTCCTTTGCTAAGCAAGACAGTTGTTAAGTGAGTTGTGCCTCATTTTACAACCTTTCGACCATGGTTATTAAGCGGATCACCAGGGTTGCTAAGAGAATCACAGGTTGTTAAGTGAATCGCTGGGGTTGTTAAGCGAATCAGGCTTCCTCCATTGACTTTGCTTGTCGGAAGCTAGATGGGA